CCCACGTCTCTTTCAGCCCCCAGCCCGCGCCGGGGCCGCGAGGAGCCCCCGTTCTACAGCCCATGTCTCCGACCCAATAGCGTGCATCTGCAGCCCAATGTCATTCAGCTGCGGCCCAGCGCCACTTATGCAAGCCAATTTACTCCTAAACTCCCCCTGCTTGATTTAACATCCCTATTTTCTGCCCAAGATTAATTCAGAATGATACAACGCGGACGAGAAGGTAAATTTAAGTAACATTCTCATGATGGAGGTACGGAGTGGATTTAAATTTCGAGCTTGGGGGATTTTTAAATTGGTAATAATGGGGAATTACTTGGTTTATACGTGAATAATTATGATTTGCTCGTAGAAATATTTGGATTACTCGTAAAGATATTATTTGTGGAGCAATATTTGACTTATTCGTGGAGGATTACTTGATTTATTTGTGGAGTTATATTTAATTTGATCGTGGAATTATTTGATTTGCTCGAAGAGATATTGATTTATTCGAGGATATATTATCTGATTTGTTCGAGGGATTATTTGATTTGTTCGTGGATATATTTGATTTGATCGAGGGATTATTGGATTTATTTGTGGATGATTATATGATTTGCTCGAGGGACTATTTGATTTGTTCGTGGATATATTTGATTTGATCGAGGGATTATTGGATTTATTTGTGGATGATTATCTGATTTGCTCGAGAAATTATTTTATTTTTTCGAGTTATATTTAAATTGATCGTGGAATTATTTGATTTGCTTGAGGAGATATTGATTTATTCGAGGATATATTATCTGATTTTCTCGAGGGATTATTTGATTTGTTGGATATATTGGATTTGATCGATGGATTATTGAATTTATTTGTGGATGATTATACGATTTGCTCGAGGGATTATTTGATTTGCTCGTGGATATATTTGATTTGATCGATGGATTATTAGATTTATTTGTGGATGATTATTTGATTTGCTCGATGGATCATTTGATTTGTTCGTTGATATATTTGATTGAAAATGAATGTGGGTCGTGATTTCGAATTGAGGATATTTTGTGATTGTGCTTATCGTGTGTTTGATGCATTTCAAAATTTCCATTATCATTTAATAAAATTGGTGATAGTTTTAAAAAAAATCTAAAAAATCCAATCAAATTAATTAATTAATTTATGGTATTAATTTGGAAAAATTAATAAATGGGCAAAATTGCAATTTTGGTCCTGCTGCTTTGGCCTTGCAGCAATTTTGGTCCTGGGATCGGAGCAAATTCCTATTTAGTCCCGTAATTTCAGAAGTCAACGCAATTTTA